GTCACTGCACGGCACCGTGACATCGCATAACGTGACGTCAGACGACGACGTCTTTTCATGACATCATCGTTTAGTGAAAGTTCAGCTGATCCTGGAGGCACTGGCAAAATCACGCGAAGTGAAAAAAAAAAAAAGCCTTGAATGCCTCCGATCTCGCAGGTGGTGCTGAACAACGTTAAGTCCAGAAAGCTTTCGGAGATCGACAAGTGGTCAATACAATCAACTGAGAAAAAAAATCTGGTGAATTTCGCTGTTCCTACTTCGTTCTAAGCATAATGTCGTAGAATATTTGCGTGAACTGATGAGAGAGAGAGAGAGAGATATAAATAGAGAGGAAAGGCAGGGAGGTTAAGCAAGCTTGGCTCGGTTGGCTAACCTACACTTGGGGTGAGGGAAAAGGAGAATAATAAAACGGAAAGATAGAAAAGAAGAGGAGTAAGAAAGAGAAGCATGAATAGAATGAATAGAAGAATGAATGTGCAATGGAGACTTCCACGAAGATATGTTCGAAAGAATCGAGACGCACGGCACTCGACCAGGAGTTGGAACAACTTCGAGCGGTCCGCCGACGTGCCGAAAGACGATACAGACGCACGAAATCCATCTCTGACCTCAGAGAATCCAGACGCATTCAGAAGAAAATCTAGCGTCGAATACACAAACTTCATGAACAACGGTGGAGAACTTTTTGTGACTCGCTAGATCCTCGAAAGCCCTTGTCTCCCGTACGGAGGCGTGAACTGATGAAGGCATAGAAAAGGTACCATAAAGAAAGTTCCAGTTGAAAAGTTATGGTCCTTTAGTAAAACGGAGCTGTTAACAGGACTGCCAACCAATTTCGTTTAATTTGGTTCAATGAAAAGCTTCCCTGTGAGAATCTGTATTCGTGTAACGGTAACTGAGAAAACCTCCATAATCGTATTGAATTAGTTATTGTTTGTTGTTTTAGTGTGTAATAGGCCCATTTCATTACTCGAGAGCATGATTCTTAGCACTGCAAACTCAACCAACTAATGGTGGTCCCTGTCATGATTCAGGCGGAGATGAGGTCTTAATTGCACGTGTGTTTATCTAATCCGTGTTTATGTTAAGAGAGCTGAGTATACATTTTCCGCGTCGTAGCGTAATCAACCTACGCTTCAACCCGCCATTAAGTGGGCTAACCGCATCGCAGGACAGGTAGCTTTACAATTTTGCAAAGTGTCTATTGCTCAATGACCTGAGCCCGAAAAGCAATTAACTTTAAAGGCTGTTAAACTGTAAATGTAGTCTCAAACTATCTGTAAAAACTTGCGGTGAATACCTATATTACGGCCTGCTTAAAAAAAACTGCTTTGTTTATCGTACTCGTTTCTGCCTTTGATAAAACAGTAATGTGGTTACGATCGTATGCGTCCCCGACTTGCCGCGTGGGTTTGTTTGTGCGTAGAGATATGGAGGGTTCCATGTTGTTCATACCGATAGTGTTTTCTTATCGATGGTGTGTTGTGACGGTATAAAAATATAGATTGCTGGATAAACCTTAGTGGTTGACTCATCATTTGTCTTGTGTGTGTTTTCCTCAAGTGTACAGCTTTTGGGCTGTTTATCAATCTTTGCAATCTTAACACATGTACTGATACTTGTCTCTCTGAAGCTCTCATGGCGTAGATAATACGCCTAGCTAGAGAAATATAGGCGTACAAAACATCAGGCGGCAATGGCTAAGAAAAGTTCCTAGTGATAGAATCAACCCTAAATCAAATTTTCAGCGCAAAGAAAAAAAAAACCCCTTTGACATTTTTTTTTTCTGGTTCAAATTACACTTTTTTCAGAGTAGAAAACTTTCAAAACTGAACTTGATCACCACATGGCGGACAGTGATTTGAATTCTTGCCGTTTGAAATATGGAGTCGAACGCATTCCTAATAGTTAAAATACCGGAAAACTTTATTTAGTAGAAAAAAAAAACAATTGGCGCCTGTAAGTAAATCATAAGTGTCGATTGGTCTGCGAATGCATCATGCAGGCTTCGACGCCCGTTGAGCTCGTTTTGCGCTCTTGGGTTGGCAGTCAGAATTTAAAATCAAATTTGTCGCCTTTTACTGATCAGAGTCAGTGAAATCTTGATACAAGCCGTTACACGAAATTACAAAACAAGTACACGATCTTGAGCTCTGTGACTAGAATTTCGTTAGGCGGGAATTTCGATTCGCCCCGCATAGGAATGCGGCCCGTTGGGGCCGGCCAACAAACACTCTCGCCTAGCAGCAAAATTCGTTTGCTCTGAAGCTTCATTGGGGACTGCGCAGTCACAGTTATATCCACGCAACACATTTGTGTTTGTGGAAAAGTAGTTTCTCGATTTGTCGGCAAATATTTTGGGGAACGTCGAAGGGGTCTAAGAATGGGCACGTTAACTACGACATGTGTGCGAGACAAGCAAACATTTTTATACCGTCCTAGGGGTTCTCGGGACAGATGCGTCAACTCGGAAAATATATTTAGTGCCAAATGCACCAAAATGCCGTTCATGAATAACGTTTCATTTTAGGTGAAACTGACCGGTATGGATGACGCACAGGGCATAAGGTCGTCTCTTTTGGCAATTTCGATCAATGTGTAGTGAAGAGAAAGCGACAATGAAACGCACGAGGATGCAAGCCTTGTTGTCGATTGTGGTAAAGGACCCGAGCTCGCGCTAGTCCGGCCGCTTGACACCCGCCACTCTTCGACACTGTACTACTAACGACGTCTCTCCACGTTCGCTAGTCCCCATGCTGATAAACCGTAACCTTTAAAATAAAAAAAGACCAATATATTACCTCGTTTTGTCAGCCATAATGAAAGAAGGTCGTCGAGGCTTTAGCGGGTCCTGTATATTCGAGCTATGCGTGCATGCCGCTGCTGCTGCCGCTCTACCAAGACAAACTGGCAACCGTTGATTTCTTCCTCGGCGTTTGATAAGCGCGGAAACGCAGAACCAGTTAAAATGGAGCATCATGTACTATCGAGCACGAGATATCAAGAATGCACCAGTATGACCGACTCCGCCGCCTATCTATGGGTTGTCTGACTGTATCTTGCGCCCTTGAATTTAACGAGTGGTGTCCCGTGCTTACAAACATGACGAACTATCCTTTCCTTGCTAGGCCTGGGAGATTATTGTGATGCCGACGTAATCAAATATTGGTACAAACTGACAGACTGCAACGCTTCTAACGTTTCGATGTTGGTCCCGTACGATGTCTGTAAACAACTTCTGAAAATTGAAAGGAAAAGTGCGTGATTCCCTTCTGACGTCTCCCGTCTTTCGGACACAATTCGTAACGCCAGCAGTCTGTTTTGTTGTGTAGAAATGAGCTCTAGACTTGTCCGCATACGCAGTCATAGATTGTCTGCTGTCCTGCTCTGTCATGCAGTTGCACACGCACGCTGCTTTGTTCTCGCATAGTTATCGATTGTGATTAACTAATTTTGTTCTGTCTTAGGGGTGCCGATCATTCGGGATTTTTCGCTAACGGCACACACCAAATCGGCAAGATTTCAAGATTTTCCTCACTAATATTCACAAAAGGTTATCAGACCCTGTATGGAGAGCTTCTCCCGAATACAAGCCCCTCTTATTTCCCTGGCGCAGCAAACTATCTAGGTCGAGAATAATGGAGGTGGCCGTGACCAAATTTCGTTGCTGCGTTGCCTTCCTCAATTTTTATTTGCATAGAGCAAGTTTGGCACTTTCCTCTCTGTGCCTGTTCTGCAATTAGGAGAAAATCATTAGTAATTTCTTTCTATACTGTCGCTGATTCACCTCATTGAGGAAATAGTACCACCTCTTCGAAATCTGGGTCCAGAAGTAAGAGAATCTGTTATTCTTTCTTCAGGCGGCTCTGCTTTGTTCTGCAGTCACATGTGTTGTTTTCTTCACCATTGAGGAATGAATCAGTCAGTCTAAAAAATGTCTAAAAAATATTTCATGATCAATATTTGGTACCTCAATATATTAGTTAACAATAGCTTCTACAACTAATCCACAAAAAAATAGTGGAAGTTTCACCTGTTACTGGGCTTTCTCCTGCAATCTATGATATGAGGAGAAGACGAAGAAGAACACGGACGCTCTACAAATACACCCACTGTGGGCATGAGCCACAAGAGAAGGTCAACAAGAACAAGAACAAATGCTTTAAGGGCAAATGAGTGGCGTAATGAAGATACAGTCTGAAGGAAGGGTAGTGAAGGCGAGAAATAACGTGCTCTCTTGCCTTTTAGCTTGGAGTGGTTTAGGAGCGCTTTGGACATAACGGCAATGTACTCTTGCCCACTCAAAAAAAAAAAAAATTGAGCTCACGATCCATAGCTGTGATGATTCCAAGGACCAACAGCGAAGAAAAATATTCAGGCGTGTGTCGAGGGCTAAAGTACCCTTGAAGGCTAATCGAAAAAAAAAAGAGAAAGAAGAAACATGCCCTCTAGGTTATCGGCCATTACAATGAATAAAAACTAGAATGGACCAAAAATTATTGCGCTTTGTGTACGTGATGGCATGTGATCGACAAACGTGTAGTATTATGGGTACGTTGTATCTTAAAGTAAACAAGCAACTGCAGCTAGCGAAAAAGCACGATAAACTTTTTAAAACAGGTGAAACTGCACTTCCTTGCACGAGGACAGTTGCAATAAATATTTAAGCTTATTCGGGGATTTCATCATATTTAACTTAGCCCTGAAAAGAATTTTGATGTTTCGCAAATTTTGACAGCTCCAAAAAATGCTTATCTAGTCTGATATCGTATTAACATTTCGAATAAGTTTGAATAATAAACTACAGAACAAAAAACAGTGGGACAAATTTATGGCATATGTTCATCTGCCATAGACATTGTAATATGCGGTGTACGAATAAGCAGGCTGTATTTAAAAAGTACATAAAATTTTTAGAGCGAGCGATCGTATGTCGAGCTGCTTCTGGGGACAACTTTACCCCGAGAGCACCCCAAAGACCACCAATATGGGTCCCGTTACTGCTTGAGAGAAACATTTTTCACAATTCCGTAGAATTCAGGACTGATGGGTTGTTTTGCGTCGTCCGAAATTTCCACCAGAGTATCGGCCTGCCTATGTTGGGTGGGAACAACGAACGTGTACACCACGCCCGGTTTGTTATCGAGCTGCGCGTGCCTTGACCTGTGCGCGTAGACTTTCGAGCAGCCCGGACAGTCATAGTTCACCACCATCCGCACTTTTCCCAACTCCGCGTCCTGCACAACCACGTCAGTCGTCACAAGCACCGTCTCTGCAACGCTGCTAAACAATGACAAGACCCATTCACGCTCCTCTTTGTCCCTCTTGCCGTGAAGGCTTATGGCGGGCCAGCCACGTTGTCGCAGCTGGAGGGCAATCTCCTCGACCTTCCACCTCCTCTCAGTGAACACCACGGCTCTGTCTGTCTTCTTCTTGAGGACGTCCTCCAATAGTTCGGCGAATTTCGCCTCTTTCTCTTCTTCTTGGCACACGTCGACTGTTATTTCCACGCTGTTCTGAACAGGCAGTGGCGTCGCACTAAACTTTACTTCCACATATAGTCGTCGAGCGAATTCTCCACGAGTGGCTTTAGGTGCTTTTTCCAGGAACTGATCCAAATTATCGTTTGGTGGTTTGGCCGACAAAGCTCGGCAATTTTGAGGACGTGGTGCTTCTATCCCATAGCATGCGGTCCAAATCGACGAGGACGAGGTAAGTGCAGTGGTGCAGATTCACCTTGCTCTCATCGAGGAACTCAATGAGGCGTCCAGGCGTGCCACGAGGATATGGCAGCCCTTCTGAAGCTCTGCGTACTGGCCTCTTCTGCAGTCGCCACTCACGGCGCACACGCTGCCCAACCCGGCGTGCTCGCCGAGCTCTGAGGCCACGATGTGAATCTGCTTGGCCAGTTCGCGCGTCGGAGCTACGACTAAGGCGATGGGGCCTTCGTGCCGTTGCCGGGGAGGCTGGCGGCTGACGTGTATGACGGCCGGAAGGACGTAGGCGAGCGCCTTGTGTGATCCCGTCTCCGCTATGCCAAGAAAGTTCCTGCAAAAGAGTGCGATGGGCCAGCAGTGGGCCTCGATGCACGTTGGTGACGTGTAGTCGTGTTGTGCCTCTATTGCCTTGATGAGGTAGTCCAGAAAGTTGGACTCTTCCAAGGCGAGTATGGGTTTCGGCACGTCGTTCTCTTTCACCGATACACTGTTGGCATTTCTGTAGTCTTCCACTTCGGCCATCGAACGGCCTGCCGTGTGCGGGTGTTCCTGGTACAGGTTCTTCTCGAACTGGTGCAGCTGTATGTTCTTCCAGTTGGGCTTGCGAAGGAACCATCCCACGTTGCTGTTCCGATACATATCGGACCCATGCAACCTGCCCATTGGAAATCTGTTACCGATGAATTTCACCCCTGATTCGTTTCTGTTGTTGTACCATGTTGTTCGCTTGGACAGGACGTCGCCCGTGCAGCTCTGTGGGAGAAAAGCGATTGCTGCGGACGTATATAAGCGGCGTAGCTGTTCAGTGGTCGGTATGGGAACTTCCTTGTTGATAATGATTGCATCATATACTGTAGCGCATGCCCACTGAGAGGCCATGTGCGAAAATTTTGTGGACACAAGCATTCATAAGTGACTCTCACCTGGATAGGATGGTCAAAAATACGAGTGCTATAAAAATAACTGTGATCGAGGTGTCAGGTGAGCCTAATTGATAAAGAACAATGAAAGTTCGAAAGCAAAAGGACATTACGAGACTCTTAGACTGATTTATTTGTGGAGTTTAACGTCCCAAAACCCACACGAGACTCTTAAACTGCTATCCATGTTCTTTAGCTTGCTACCAACGGGTTTCACGACCTCGATGCGTTCCTAATTAACCTTGTAGTGTTTACATTAACCCCAAGTACGCCTTTTCGTTCCACGAATAAGAAGGAAGAAAAGACTTTCTACCTCACACATGAAGTAAGCACTACTGGACCATTTCCACACCTCGTACGCTAACAGGATTCATGTATGCACGTATGGATCTACCACCTAGATCTACCCCCATTGTTGGTTGGTTGCTTGGGTCCCAGCTGAGTGGCTGAACCCACTACGGGAAATCCGCCATCATGCACACGGCAGTGGGATTAAAGAAAGAATTGGAAATCCTGAAAAAGACAATTTTTTAGGTGAGCGAGAAAATAAGTGCTTATGGTATTTCTACGAAACGTTAGCAAAAAAAAAAGTTCCCCATCATCATCTCATCGGAGACATCGATTCTTTTTGCAACATTGCACACGTGAGCACCTTGACTTGTTCGGAGTTTGTTGCACTGTGCAATGTCATCGACTATAAAAACCAGCAGCAGCCGACCATTCAATGGGCAGCATTCTGCGACTAGTAGGTGGCTCTAGAATGTCTTGCGTCAGAAAATTCTCGCATATTCTATGAGTAACTTGTGTCAGAGATACGAGAAACTTTTTAAAATTTTTATTTATTCATACACGAAATATTCTGCCTTGGCGTTTTACACGATGGATGGGCTGGTATCAGGTGACAATTACTCAGCTCCTTGCGGGTCGGATTAGATTTCAGCGTCTCTGGGTGGTGCGTTTTAGTTCCTGGCTGTTTTCACGAAAAAGGAGGAGCGTAGGTGCGCAGTGGTCCGTGCACTGTTTTGGTGGGTTCACTGTTCTGGTGTGGCAAGGTGGACGATGAGCAGAAAAGATTAATGAAGTGCTAGAACACCAATAGTAAAATTTGTGAAAAAGACACAGCGTAGATCTAAGGCGTCATAGTTTCAAGTTATATAGATGTGCTTCGGATTTTCGTTTTTTGCGACAGTGTATACCGTGGACTGAATACTCTGAATAGATGTAACGATTTGTATGGTTTCTTTAAGTGCTTGAAGTGCTTTAATCAGCTTCGATTGAAGCTGGTTCCAAGAAGAGCATGCCTACTCCAACTTCGGCGTGATGCATGTTAGATAAGCTAACAATTTGACTCATGGGGTAGCTAGGTGCAAGCGTGTTCGAAAGTATCCAAATGTTCGGTTAGTCTTGGTTGATGGTTGATGATGCGCGTGATGTGAGATGAGTAGAAATAATCGTTTTATATAGTAACCCCTAGGTACTTGCATGAGTTCACAGGAGAAATCGCAGTGTTGCGTAGGACGTACTGTGTTGGAGAAACTTCGAGGTGAGGGGTAAAAAAAACTAGGAGTGTTTAGATAATGCTTATCGAGATAACACATTCACTACACCAAGCAGTGATCTTATCCAGGCCCTTTTGAAGAGATCGGAAGTCACGACCGCTATGAATAGGGCGATAAACTACGCAGTCATATGTAAACCAACGTATGTTAGGTGAAATCTTGGCGGAGAGATCCCCAATATATATTAGAAAAATTAGTGAGTCTAAGACGATTTCTTGAGGTACTCCACACTGAACAGGCCTTCTGCCTTAAGAATGCTTGTTAGCATGAACAAACTTCTCTCGATTAGTAAAAAAACAAACTACGAATGCAGTACAAAAGAAAATAGTGAAGTTTTAACCGAGGAAGCCTCAAAAATAGTCGCCAATGTGGCCCCTTGTTAGCGCCTTTTCGAAATATAAAAACAGAGCGTCATCTGGAATGTTTGGATCGAGGTGACAAATATTGTAATTCATGAACAACGCGAGTTGTTTGTCTCCAGAAAGAACCTTTGTAAAATCCATGTTGATTCAGGGTGAAAAAAAAGCAGACTATCAAAAATGAGCTGTGTGTGACTGTACTGTGTGTCATTAGTTGCGAACAAACACTGGTGAGTGAGATGGGGCGGCACCTATACGGTGTGAAGACGGCACACCTTTTTTTAGGACTGGGACAATCTTGCCCACTTTCCACTCACCCAGTATCAGTCATGAGGTTTCACCGGCAAGAGTGCACAAACGGTAAAAATTAAAGGCTGCCGTGAAGAAGCTTAAGAAGATATCTGTCCCCTGTGCTATGGAAGTTGTAGAATAAGATACCACTACGTTGTAAATCTCACATTGTTCAAATGGACCGATGCCCTAATGATAGGCTTAGAGAGCACGCAGCTACAGAGAATGCTCCAAATGATGGGGCGCCCTTCCCTTCGCATCACAGTGCATGGGGCTGCAATCCAATTTTCGAGGGAGCTGACGTAACAGGTAGAGCAAAGGGCAGGCATGAGAGAAAGATCTCAGAGGCAGAACAGACTAGGAATGCTGCAGAAGCGCTCAACAGTGCACCGTTGGTACATCTGACAGTGAGTGAAAGAAATAACTTTCTTCAACGCAGTTAAGTATATAAATTTCTTTAACGTACCCCTTTATTGTTACCGTAGATTATTAACCTGTTTTTAAGCAGATATTTCTTTTTATTGAGTGACTATCTGGTGTGACTGCGCCTGCGCATTTGTTTTCGTCACGAGTCAATTTCATAATAAACTCAATTCCAAGTTGAGTGTCTTTCTTCTAAATAGTCTTCAGTTCCTTTCAAGCTTAGCTCTTCTATGCCAGATGTCAAACCAACCAGCCCAATAATTCACTATTTGGCGTACTTTTTTATTGTTGTCATTTGTTGCATGCATTCTTTATGGTGTTCTTTCTGTTTTAAGTATGCCCCGCCACGGTGATCTAGTGGCTAAGGTACTCGGCTGCTGACCCGCAGATCGTGGGATCGAGTCCCGGCTGCGGCGGCTGCAATTCGATGGAGGCGGAAATGCTGTAGACCCATGTGCTTAGATTTGGGTGCACGCTAAAGAACCACAGGCGGTCGAAAGTTCCGGAGCCCTCCACAACGGCGTCTCTCACAACCCTATGATGTTTTTGGGACGTTAAACCCCACATATCAATCAATCGATGTTTTAAGTATCGGGACGACGCTTTATCAGAAAGAGACAATGCCACGCGTGTTATCATTTTGTTGTGCTCCGTTGAAAGCCACAAATGTTGTGAGTACACTTGGCGCAGATTGCGTCTCAGTGTTCGAGAAGCTTCACGCTTCCAGCAGATCAATTTGTGAAGATTCCGCACGGGACGCGAACACTCAACAGTATTCCAGAACTTACGAGAGCACCGGTGATAAGGCTGGAAAGTTCGACATGTGATGTATAAGAAACGGCGCGTCGCAACGATGACCCGTCGATTGGCGGCTGACGCTCTGGTCGCTGCTATCAGATTGATACGTGGGGTTTAACGTTCCAAAACCGCCATATGATTATGAGAGGTGCCCTAGTGGAGGGCTGTGGAAATTTCGACCACCTAGGGTTCTTTAACGTGCACCCAATTCTGAGCACACGGGCCTACAGCATTTCTGCCTCCATAGGGAATGCAGCCGCCGCAGCCGGGATTTGATCGCGCGTCCTGCGGGCCTGCAGCCGAGTACCTTAGCCACTAGATCACCGTGGCGGGACTCGCTGCTATCAGTGCCAGTGTGTTCCGTTGTAATCTACCTTTTCATTTACGGCCATTAAGCCAAATAGAGTTTCTTCTTTCACACGCCGAGTGTTGCCTTCGCCGACGTCACCGCCACAAGATAATATATCGTGGTTTCAGGACGTAATACCTTGAATATTATGATTACTATTGTGTTACAATTCTTTACTATCAAAGCTTCGCAATAAGCCCACGCTTAAGTATCAGCATGTTTAATGTGAAAGAACACCGAGTTTGATCTTCGCGCTCGGTCTTCCAAATCGTGTAAAGTTCTATGAATGCGATTTTATCTGCTCTTTGTTTGGCAAGTGTGCGAACATCGTGGAGTTCTTTCTAGACAGCAGCGATGAACGAGCAGTATTTTTGTAAAGCGCTTCCTGACACCATCCAAACATTTGTCGCTCTCGGTTTACTTTTGGCGAATTGGCTCAACTTTGTTCCGTATACAGCGACGCCTTCCCGGGGCATATTTCGTTGAGCACCTCCACAATATCAAGGTTTCGTTTTCGGGTGTGTTGGGACCACGGTTTTGTTTGAAATCTTTTGATAATACCAACAACTCTACAATAGCGTGGGTACACCTGTTGACAAAATAAGTCGAGATGTGCGAGAGATGACCGCCATTCGATAAAACTGCATCGCCGCGCCATCTGACGTGGAGAGGCAACATGCGCGTCCTTTCAACTTCGCAGCCATATCTTTTTACTTTATTGCAGTGTAACAGTGCTTATATGTAGCGTTTCGAGCTAGGCGTCACTTTGTTCATTCCGTGACGTGCTCAGTTCAACGGGAGCGCGGTGGCGGTGCAGTGTATATGACATGCTGTGCCCTAATTAAAAAGATAGCATATCTTGTCTTAGTGGCAAACCGGTGCCACACATGTCATTATTTCTCTTCTCTGCGCGTTCGTTTTAGTTGAAGCGTGCCATGTG